TTTTTAAAAACACAAGATTGATATAAATATCTTTACCTTGTTTCTCTTTCCAATCAGATTTAAGCTTAAAGACATTTGGCACAAAATCCGTATAAGCTTGACTCAATATTTCCTTACTTTTGCTTGATGCAACAACATCAACATAATTAAGCGTATTATATTTCCAACAACAAACATTTCCTTGTTGCATTTGAATTGAATTGAAAAATTAACAAAAAATAAACTAGAAACCCGCCAACTATAATTTGAATACATATTACAACATTACTATATACTAATTTAAAGAGAGAGGCAACTTGTTTCATTGAATTACAAAAGAGAAAACAAAAAAACTACATTTTAACTACTTATTATCTTTGCAACTGTTGGTTGCATGCACAACTAAAAATAAAAAATGTATTTCCACTATTCTTCATTTATAAAATACACACAACATTGATGTGCCATAAAAGTGACAATATTAGCAGACATAATTATCATATAATAATCACAAAAAGGGAATTAACAAAAACAGCAAAAAAGATTAAATTAAAATAAAGCAGAAAATTAAAAAAAAGAAATGAAATTAAAACATAAATAATAAAGCTACTACTGCTGTTGCAAATAAAATTTGTGTGGTAAAATGACAAAGTAGAATGAAAGAAAGAAAAAGAAGAAACCCTCCTCCTCGTTTCCTTTATTGCCTGTCAGCCTGACTGCCTGTTTGACTTCCTTGTTGTGGTGTTACCTCCTTATCAGTCTAGTGATACGTTTGAGGCTGCTTAAACTGCCACTGCTGCTTTCTATACAACGATTTGTCATATTTTGTGTTAATTTTGTAATACAAAGAATGAGAGGCGTGTAATTAAATTTTATGTATCTTTTTTATTCGTGTACCATCAACATATCATCTTCTCTGCTCCCTGTACATCCAGACAAAGACCAAAATTATAAAAAAATGTAATAAAAAAAATTGTTCCCATTTGTGCATAAATAAATTGAATGCACAACGCACATCTTTATTGCAAACATGCAACTTGTATGCAACATGACAGAAACAAAAAAATGAGCAGTATCAGCAGTAAATATACAAATGGACAGACGGACGGACAGACTGTTTGCCTCTTCGACTATTTCACTGACTGAATGCGTTTATTTGCAGCAGCTTATATAGAAATGCAGATAAAAAGATTCATATAAAGATTTACAAACAGACAGACAGACAGACAGACACATTCAGTTAAACAGTAATTCAGTCATATTTAGATGTATACAATTTATTTGTTGTTGTTTTTATTACAGAGCAAAAGTAGTGTATGTTTTTTTTGTTATTTTTACTGCTGCTGTTGGTTGCTATTGCATGTGTGATGTATTCAAATTACATTTTATTAGTGTTCATTTTCATATAACACATTTTCCCCTCGGTACTGACCTTAATTTTAATATGATTTTTTTCTTTCTTCATCTCTTTTTCATTTATTTAGTTTTGCATGTGCTGTAAAATGTTCCTGTTTTATTGTAAAATTTAATCCTTACCCAAATGAATATACAAACACTTTGATATTCACACATTTGTAATAATCCTCATACATTCGTTTATACAGACATTTGTTTCAATGTATGTTTTACTTCATCATCGCCATCATCATGATGATGCCAATCATCTCAATTTACACCAACAACTACCACCACCCACCCTTTCTGCTTTCACAGAAGAATTCGTATATCACTTGCATATTTTGCCTATTTGACACTACCGCCCTCAGAACACCCAACTCCCAAAGAGACCAAACCAAACTGTAACCCACCACCTTCTATGTACCACCTTTTCATTTAGGGTTTTGAAAATTTATATATTTCCTTTTTTTTTGTAAACTGCATTCTGTTGCAGCAGCAGGCAACACAGCTGTTACAATTTTAATTCAAATTCAGACAAATATGATAGAAAAGAAAAAAAGATTTTCCACTCAATTTTATTAGTTCTTCAAAAATTTGACATTGTTTTTCTGTGTCTTTTTTTTTTGTCATTTTCGTTTTTGCTAATTGTAATAAAAGTTTATTACTAGTTATTGTCATAGTACAATCTAAGTATCACTATCACTTGTTTTTAAGGCAGAGATTCTTAAATGTTAGTAAATTCTTTCAATTTTGAGAAATTCTCTTTATAGAGAACTGAACTAGAACTGAACTAGAACTGAACTAGAACTGAACTAGAACTGAACTAGAACTGAACTAGAACTGAACTAGAACTGAACTAGAACTGAACTAGAACTGAACTAGAACTGAACTAGAACTGAACTAGAACTGAACTAGAACTGAACTAGAACTGAACTAGAACTGAACTAGAACTGAACTAGAACTGAACTAGAACTGAACTAGAACTGAACTAGAACTGAACTAGAACTGAACTAGAACTGAACTAGAACTGAACTAGAACTAAACTAGAACTGAACTAGAACTGAACTAGAACTGAACTAGAACTGAACTAGAACTGAACTAGAACTGAACTAGAACTGAACTAGAACTGAACTAGGACTAATTATTATCTATGAATAAAGGAAAGGAACTCCTGGTTCATTTGGAACTCCTGCTTTCAAATAAAATAGGTGTGTTAGCCTCCCCCAAACGGATTAGTTTTATTAATGAAAATTGTGTTACATCTCCTCTGGCTCAAAAAGTATTTCACATCAATGTAAAGAGAAAGTTCATTTATTTGTAAAAAATTTATAAAATTGCCATAACTATTACAGACACACAAACTAACTATACAACATATGTATGTATGAATGTAAAAACGTACCATAAAATGTAACAAACAGTAAATATATTGCAACATGTAAAAGGAGTTAAGTTGAGGTTTTCTATATTGTGGGTGAGTGGGTGTGTTGGAAATCAAATAATTTTTAATTGCTCTTAAATACAATCTCTTCTCGTATAACAGGCGAAAGTGTATTTTGTATGACTGAATATAAACATGAGTACGTTAGTATCTGACCATGTCGGTATATAATAATAAAAAAAAGTCCTTCATTTACCATTAAGGATTGATAAATTGATAAATGTTGCGCCACTAAATGTGGCACATTTTGAAATTAATGACAGCTACTTAATAAAACGAAATAAAGTAAGAGTAGAGCAAAAGTATTTGTATTTGTATTTAATAAATGTGAACAAAACAACGGTGTTATCAGTTGCTACCGTGCCTTTTGCCCGTCAGTCTGTATGTCTTTCAGTACGACCTTTTGGACATTCATTCATTCACTTTTGTACATCTATCCATCCATTTGGTGGGTTAACAACCACTACAGTAGTTTTCCGATTTAACGACCATTCAATTCTACGAACATCGCATTTAACGAACAAGCTAATTTTTCCTATTGACTACCTTAAATAACGAACAAAACTTGTTTTTTGTACTCTGTTTAACGAACTAATAAAAATATTATTTAAATGAAGATAAAATGACATTTATCAAAAATAACAAATAACCTAAGTTGTAGCGGTGCTTTTATAGCCAAAACTGTAACACATTCTGGGTTCTTATTAAATTTTAGTTCGATGTAGCTATGTCCGTCCGTCCTTCAGATAATGACTTTAACGCTCATTACTCGCTTAACAATACGAGTACGCCGATGAAATTCGATTCAAACATGTTCTATACTAACAGAAATCTCTAACAAATTTTATGGGAATCGGTCCATAATTGACCTTCAACGCTCATTACTCGCTTAAAAATACGAGTATAGCGATGAACTTCGAGAAATAACTTTAACGCTCATGACTGAATTAAAAATACAGCGATGAAATTCGACACAAATATGGTTTGAAGGTGGATATATAAGATTCGGAATTTTGTGTTTTGTGCTATTTTTATAAAAAAAAGAATTAATTTTTATAAAATACATTTAAAAAATATTTTATGCACCTATTTTTAATTATTTTCCTACCAAAAACCCACGTTTTAGTTAGTACTGCATATAACGAACTTTTCAATTTTACGAACAGGCCTGACAACATATGGGTTCGTTAAATCGGAAAACTACTGTATTAAATTTAAAATTAAAACAAATTTGTCAATGTTCATTTTTATTTTTAGTTTAACAATCTGTTCGTTTATTTGATTTTATGTTTTTTTTCCTCATTTGTTTCATTCACTTTGTGTTACTGTTTTAAAACGCAAAGCAAAATGGGAGTGTAGTGTTTGAAATCGTTTTGTTTGAAAGTCAACTGTCAACATTTATTGTTGTGCTTTCACTTGTTTCTGTTGTTGTCGTTTCTGCTTTTTCGAACATTTGTTTAATCCTTAAAAACAAGTGCAGTTTTATCGAGCATGTTTTGTTTGGGAAAAAATCCTTATTGAAGATACTTAATTAAATTCCTGAATATTGGCAACATTAAATTGATAAATTGAGGGTGATTTAAAAAAGAACTAAGGCAGTTTTAAGCTAATTTTTATTAACAAAAAGTCAGAAGACAAGCTTGTGAGCATCACTTCAGAGATGTTTATAAAGTTTTAAATAAAGAACAGTTTTAATTTGAATATTTTTTCTAGATTCGAACTCGATTAAAAATTTAATCATTTAAGAATTTATTAAAAAATGATAAATTGAGTTTGATTAAAATTAGAAATACTTGAATCCTGCCTACAATACTCTTGAGAATCTCTAGGTGATACTTTTAGTATAAGGAAATAATTTGAAAAGTTTCAACCCCTTTAAATTCTAAATTCAACAAAATATTAAACAGAATAGTAATAAATGCTGCAGATATGACACTAACAGATGTAGTTTCATATTGAACAAAACTATTAATATTTATGAGATGCTGTCGAATTCAAATTAATTACACAAGAATCAATTTATTTCTGAACAAGCGCTTCCCAAGAGTACTATTTAATTTTCATACACGAAAGTATGTAATAAATCTCCAAAAATAGTTTTTTTTAGAAAATTAATTCACACATTGACTGACAATAAAATTTGACTATAAAAATATAAAAATTCAAAATGAATACCACTTACCGGTGTGGAATAAGGATGTGCAGTTAAACGTACACCATCCGTTTCTAGCTGCTCCCTAATGACCATATCCAATTCACTGGGTGGTGGTGTTTCACATAAGATCTCCGTACTGCCTGCCAACGAATTGGGATCATTTAACATGAAATAGACGGAGGCAGCACCCTTTTCACGCAGCTGTCGTATACTTTTGAGCAGCTTGTGACGATGTGAGGGATTTTCAACACCGATGGCATCTAAATCTGGATCACCGACTTGTTTGCAAATTTCCAAATCATCATAACCATTATCCAGGAAACTTTCGGCATACTGAGCTAAACCAAGAGCACGCAACCATTCGCAAACGATATTACTGACGGCCATGTTGTGTGATGATTATGATGTTGATGGTGAAGGTGGAAAATGTTGCAGGATTTTCACGTTGTTTTAAGTTGTGTTGTTAATTTGTTTTTGTTGTTTATTTCGCCAACTTTCGGCCAACAAGGTGTGTTGGGCAAATAAGTTTATTTGTGCAGCACACACACAACAACTACCAATAACAATACGACGACGTATGCAGGAGTTTAAACGACGTTTGTTTTTAGTTGTAGTTGTAGAGCATTAAATTAACAAGGTGCCGTTTGTTGTTATTGTTCCATGTAGTGTTGTTATACATTTACCGTTACAAAATGGTGACTATTAATGTTTTAGTCTTACTTTCTTGTTGTTGTTTTTGTTGTTTTTTCTACTCTACACTTGCCAATTGCCCTTTAACATGGGTAATTTTTGTCTAGAAAAAACATCACGTGCACGCTTTGATGTTGTTTTAACCGTTTTTCTATTACAATTTTTTAAACTTTTTTTGCTCTTTACTTTGTTTTTTTTTTATTTTTCTATTAAACTTAACGTTTTTTTAAATTCTATTTTATTTTAAATTATATATTTTTCTTTTTTGCTTCTTATTACACTTTTTGCACTTTTTTTCAAACGAAAAAAAAACGAAAGAAGAACTGAAATAATGTTGTAGTTGATGTTAATGATGATGACGTTGAGGTTTTTGTGGAGTTTGAGTTAAAGGAGCAGAGCAGGAGGAGTTTAATGTTGGTGGTAATGTTGGTATTATTATTATTATTATTGTTGTTATTTTATTTATTTTCTTTTATAAGTACTGTTTAGTTTATATTAAGTTTATTTTACTACATACTGCCGTTTGATTTTCTTTGCTCTTGTTGTTTTTTTTTTTTTAGTTTTTCTTCTTAAAAATATTTTCTATTACATTAATTTAAGCAGTTTGTTAGTAGCAGCAACAAATTATACATATTTAAAAGAATATATTTAACACAACAACAAAAAAATCCTAATGTAAATATACTCGTTGAGAAGAAATACCTGTAAAAAGAAGAAAAAAATTTATACAATTTTAGTTGAAGTTCAAATAAATACAAAAAAGTATTAAGGATCTTAATGAAAATTTCCAAAACACATGCAATTTCCGCTTAAAAACGCATACAAACAACAACAAATAATGTATACATTAGTGGTAGCAGCAGCAACAACAACAACAAGTATATGAGTTCAAGTACTTTGGGAAGGACCATCAAAAGGTATTACAAGCTCGTTAATATTTGGTTGTTTAAATAGATTTCATGTTGAGTGCTGTTGCTTTTTTTTCGGGCCACTTAATAAAATGGCAAAATGGTTTGATGGCAATATAAGGCAGGGGAAAAGATTGAATTCTAGGATGGTTCTGATTTACGTCTTACACAAAATTAAGTTTTAACTGAATTTTTCGCAAAAATTTTTAATTTTTACACAAAAATTTAAAAGTTACATTACAATTTTACCTTAAATTAAAATCAAGATTTTACACAAAATTCACAATTTTACACAAAATTGTGATTGTAAGTAAAAATAAAGTTTTTACACAAATATTGCAATTTTACACAATAATTAAAAATTTTACTTAAATTTCAAAATTTCGCACAAAAAAGTTCTAATGTTTCATTCGCATGAATTAGAACTGCACTGAACTAGAACTGAAATAGAAGTGAACTAGAAGTGAAGTAGAACTGAACTAGAACTGAACTAGAACTGAACTAGAACTGAACTAGAACTGAACTAGAACTGAACTAGAACTGAACTAGAACTGAACTAGAACTGAACTAGAACTGAACTAGAACTGAACTAGAACTGAACTAGAACTGAACTAGAACTGAACTAGAACTGAACTAGAACTGAACTAGAACTGAACTAGAACTGAACTAGAACTGAACTAGAACTGAACTAGAACTGAACTAGAACTGAACTAGAACTGAACTAGAACTGAACTAGAACTGAATTAGAACTGAACTAGAACTGAACTAAAACTGAACTAGAACTGAACTAGAACTGAACTAGAATTGAACTAGAACTGTACTAGAACTGAACTAGAACTGAACTAGAACTGAACTAGAACTGAACTGGAACTGAACTAGAACTGAACTAGAACTAGAACTGAACTAGAACTGAACTAGAACTGAACTAGAACTGAACTAGAACTGAACTAGAACTAAACTAGAACTGAACTAGAACTGAACTAGAACTGAACTAGAACTGAACTAGAACTGAACTAGAACTGAACTAGAACTGAACTAGAACTGAACTAGAACTGAACTAGAACTGAACTAGAACTGAACTAGAACTGAACTAGAACTGAACTAGAACTGAACTAGAATTGAACTAGAACTGAACTAGAACTGAACTAGAACTGAACTAGAACTGAACTGGAACTGAACTAGAACTGAACTAGAACTAGAACTAGAACTGAACTAGAACTGAACTAGAACTGAACTAGAACAGAACTAGAACTGAACTAGAACTAGAAAAGTTCTAATGTTTCATTCGCATGAATTTAATTCTTAAAGACTAAATGACCCAAATCTCCAATAATAATGGACCAATTTTAACCATTTTCAGTAGGCTGGGTCAAGAGAAGAGTATGCGCCAAATTTCATCAAATTATCTTGACAGACAGACGGACGGACATAGCTAAATCAACTCAGAAAATGATTCTGAGCTGTTAAAGATATTAAACTTGAACAACTCCAACGAAACAGACTTTTTCCCTCCACCAATAGAATTAATAAGTACAAACACACATAAACTCAAAATTACAACACATTATTGTTTATTCTCTAATTGTTTTTTTGCCAAAAAAAAACTGAAAAATTCAACTTCATTTGAAGGTTTTAACAAAATGTTTGCATAAGTATGAGTATTAAAGGTAGATGTGAATGTTAGAAAATTTAAGTTTATTTTGTAAAACATACATTTACAAAACGACATGTGTAGCAAGGTGTATAAATACATACGTAAGTAAGTATGTAGAACTAAATACACACGTTTGCTAGTTGCTTTTTGCTATTAACGTTAATTGAATTTATAGCCATGGAAGGCTATGCTAACATTTTACAAAAAAACAACAGCAACAACAAAAAAATTGTTAATAACAATAATGATGGCATAAAATACTCTTACTGCTAGTAGTTAGAGAACTTTTTCTAGCAGCAGGAAGGGAGTAGAAGTTCTATTGGAAGTTAGTTGGGTTTTTATACATAATTCTATGTAATGAAACGAGTGAGTAGCTGTAATAGTAGTTGTTAGTATAACACTATAATTTTGTTTGAATGGTCGTAAATGTTTTCTAAGCAGTTACACATACAACATAACTTACACTACATAGATATAACAACCTCCTCCCCTCCCACTACTCATACACATGAGTTTGAACCCGGTTATTATTATTACTCTTCATATTTTACGGTCTTAATCTAGAAGCGCGTTATTTTTCAAACGGTGTATCTAACATATAGTCATAATGGCAGCAGTAGCAGCAGCAACTACTGCTATAGCTTTCCACTCTATTATACTGCTAATACTACTACTAGTACACCTTAATAATAGCGATTTTTTACGCGAAACGAGCTTAATATATAGTCTTAACACGTACAACAAAATGAGAGTGTATTAGATTTTATTTATTTTATATTTTTTATGTGTTCTTTTCTCATCAGCAGCAACAGCAACAATAACAACAACGACAAAAATAAATATTAAAATAACACTTGCAGTTTAAATAGCAATAATAGCTCTAGCACTGGCAACAACAATTGTAGCGGCAATGTTGCCAATACTCTTTTGAATTTTGAAAATGTTTAAGTAGAATAATAAACATTTGTTTATGTTGCCAACATTTTGTTTTGTTTTTTTATGTTACAGTATTAGCATGTAGTGTAATTACTTTAAATAAACTTTTGCTTTTTGAGATTTTTTGTTTTTGTAACAAAGGTGACCTTTGTTATTAAGATGCAAATAATGTTTGGAAGAGAATTTTGCATTTTAAAAAGTTGTTAAACCAGAGATTTGTTGGGAGATTTAAGCAACTGATTAAATTTATAAACAGAGACAAAGAGATAATAAGTTTGAAAGTTTATATAATCTTTGTAACGTATTTGTAGAAAAAAGTTTATATTAAAGTAGGATTACTTAATGAAAAGTCGCAGTATTTGATAGCTTTGTTCTCTCTCTCTCTCTCTCTGCTTCAGATTTTCATCTAATTATACTTTAAAGATTATCAACTAACAATGTAATTTTTCATAAATTTTATTATTATTTCAAAACACACTTTCGTTTTTTATTCTCAGTAAAAAATGAATCCAAAGTTGTCATAAAACTGAAGTTATTTCGCTAAACAGATAATAATCTATTACAGAATAACTTACTTTTCGATGACCGCTGCATACTATCTGTATTACATTACGTTTTTGCTATAACAGCTTGTAAAAAGATATTGCTGATAAAGGAATAATTTATTTAACTGTTTATAATTGAATGTTGTTGTAATTGCATGATCATATTGCCGAGAGAAAGAAAGAGAGAGAGAGAGAGAGTACATTTGTAAATTGTTAAATTATTTATTAAAGTTTAACTTCTATTGTGTTGCGTGCATTTTCACTAATTTTGATCAAGCTCACTTTTTGCTCGATTCAATGATTTTGTGTTCCTTTTTCTGCCTTAAATAACCCACCTACATTGGAAGAGCAAATGAGTCGCTCTAACAAAAGTACCTATGTATGTATATTTGGTACTGAAAGACTCATTGTGATCGATTGCATGATCACGTTGTATGTTTCGTAGAAAATGAAAACATCAATTTCGTAACAACTCAACTCTGCTTTCACGCACAGCAATAAAATGTACTTTATAACGAGTTAAACCGTCCCAGACGTCGAGAAGGTTGGCAAATTTTAGCAGAAGTGAATGAAAATATTCATGACGATCTTAAGATCCCAAGCAGAAAGAGATATGATCCTCCAAATATCCTTAATTAGAAGTCATTTCGTTTA